AGTGATTTAAAAGAAGTCACTGTGAGCATTATCTTCTCAGGTAAGTTGTTCCAAAGCAGAGGACTTAGGTCGACATGACATGGGTTAAATGAGAATGACTCCAGTAATATGAGCAATGTCATAAGAAAAGAAATCCACTAAATCTAAAGAAAATAGACCTCAATATAAATCAATTAAAAAGATCAAATACACTACTATGTAAGAGTGTGAGGATGAAAGTGTAAAAGCAAAGTGTATTTCTCAGGGTAATACTGTTGACCATCACTGGAGAAGAGCAAAATGGCAAAAATATCTTTTGTTACATCTGTGACCAACCCAGTTAATCACCTCACGATCTGACCTCTGGGTTGAAAACCACTATATGTGTACATGAAGTAGTTTAAACTGTAGTACCACCTTGATATCCACCATATGCATCAGTCATTGAGTGTACTAATGTAAGTTAATTTTAGGGATGGGAAATATGGACAAATATTATATTTTCATATCATTTGATACCGATAATTATCATGATAAATGTCACAATATATATTTTGTGTAGCAGGAGTAATATTTACAATTACATGTTATACCTCCTCACTGTGTTTACACAATCCATTCATACATATTGAACCTGATATCAAAATTGATTAAAATTATATTGCAATAATTATAGATATTGTTTTATTGTCCAAACATATTGTTAAATCAGTCACAGAGTTTTACTGTTACAATCAGCTGATAACTCTACTATGCTCTACCTTTACTTAACTAAAGTACAGAGAGTTTTTATTTTGTTGTTTTTGTACTTTTACTTGGGGATGTAAGTAGTTTTCCACCACTATGTATTATTCACTATAGGCCTGTTTACAGCTCTTACTGTGTGCACATTCCACACATGTGGACACACAGGTGCACAAACACCAGCCTCACTCACAAAGACATATCTGACCGTGATCTTATTTTGCTTTGAGACAGCCCCAGTCAAAACAGCCTCTCTTATCTGCATCCTCCATCGGGTTCCACACATGAGCAGCAGGCAGCCGGGCCCTGTGTGTTCTGAGAAGTCTGATGCTGACATGGAGGGCAGCGTCTGGGAAGGATGGGGGGTGGGGGTGCAGAGCTGCTGTCTGCCTCGGTCAGGGTGGAGGGGGGGAGAGAGACGCTGCGGCCTTATCGCTCCCGTGATGCAGTGCAGCTCAGTGGGCACAGAGGAAGCTGGGTCAGAGCTCGCTAGACTGTGACGCTCCCAGATCCTTACTGGAATCCACTAACACAACGAGAATAGAACTCTGACTAATCTCTTCTCTTGTGTGATGACAATATAAAATAACAGTTTAAGCATGACTTGAAAAAGTTGTCTTTGTGAAAGTGCAGGTGTCGGACGCAGGCTCAGCATATTTCATGGCAGCTTTATTATTCATATTATCAAAGACACACTTGTTATTGTAAGGATAACGCTAGTTTTACTGTAAGAAAAACAACCTTATCTATAAATTATATCAGCAGTGCCACATGTTGTTAATTGGGGCAGGTATACAGTCAAAAACGATATTATTTAAACATTAATACACATCTACATTTATGTTAGACTCTGTCTTTTCCCATGAATGTTGTAAATATTGTTATTTTGTTGATGGGCTCTGTTAAATGTGAAATCTATTTTACTTGTGTCCTTCCTGGAAGAAGGATCTCCCACTTGTGACTCTCCCTGAGGTTTCTGCTTTTTATTTTTCCTCACTCACCTGTTAAGCCCTATGAGCCAAACTGTGATTTTTGAATATGGGCCACAATTCAATTAACTGGTTTATTATTTATTAATACTTTGGTTTGCATTTAGTAACGTATTTTTACTACACAAGCTACAAAATCCTGTTTTGTTAGAGACACAACGTTAAACAATGAAGGTTATTGGATCTAAAAACAGATTCGGATCACAAACTTGGATGGAGATCAACACGACCTTTGAAAGCATGTCAGGAGTTTACATTTCCTGGCAATGATATCTCTTTGTTTATCACACCCCTATAGATGTGACATATTTGATATTTTCACATCGTGTAGGTCTCACATTTCTTACTCTCGCTCTCTCAGTTTCTCCTCCTCTACTGCAGACTGTGCCAGTGCAGTGCACGTTGAGAATGTCCTCCCACGCACTTTGACATGGCAGAGAGCTTCAGAGCTGCATGCTCTCCCCCCTTTCTCACTCTCTCCCTCTCACTCTGTCTCTGCCTTTGTGTCAAACAGGGACAACTATTGATCCTGGCAAAATCAAGAGAAGGACATGTGGACTAAACATGGTTTGGTTTACAGTAGACCTTCATCTTGTGTGGAACCAAATTCCACAGAGAAGCTGGTTATCTGTGTTGTTGAAATGGTACAAGACACAACCTGATGTTTGGCCTTCGGTTGTGTGTCTGTGCATGAAACAAACAGTATCTACAGCCCCGCCCCACCACTCCATCCCTGACAGGTCTTCCCTCAGTCTTCAGGTGTCAGATGTTCGCCCGCTCTGCAGCACAATATCCACTGTGTCTTTCTGTGTGTGTGTGCAAGTAGCATGTCGTCTTTAAGATACCAGGAGTGTGTTTTTTTTTCCTTCCTCTTTTTAACAAAGATGACAGTGTGCTCTTGTGTGCCACTGCATCCCCATGGGGGTGTTCTCTTCCATGTCCAAATAATTCCTGAGCAGACTGCATGCTGGGTAAAGAGCCTGCAGGAATCAGCACAAATGTCAGGCTGTTGCCATGTCCTTAAACACATTGCGATTAAATGTGATTTGACACAGGCAAGTCCTCCACACACGGGCTGATGTCAAGGAGCCACTTGTTTTTAATCACCCAACACAAGCGTATTCTTTTTAAATGAAGAATTCCAGATCACAAGAAGAATGCAAATATCCCTCAAAATTACCATCAAATGTTTGCACTCCACATATCTGTGTAATATTATTCAGTCTTCAGGATGATTAATGATATTCCAAGTTGGTATTAACCTGAATGCATAATCCTCCTTTACCTCATGGAAAAGTCACAAAAACCCTGTTTCCTCCTAATTTTTGGGGCATTTCTCGTGTGTTTGCTCTTTCTGTCTGCATATTATGCAACTCCTGCCGTACATATTGTGTGTATGCAAAGATATTTAAGGCAGTTGCATGCAAAAGGCAAAGCCACACTGGGAGAAGCTCTGCCGTATCTATGATGGCTGCCGTCGTGTTCGATAACTCAATGATTTGTGACATTTTCTGGGAAGGATGCATCCTGTTATTGTTCGAATCCTGCATTCATGAGCCCATGAAACACAAAGGAATACACACACACACACATGCACTGAGGTCACACACACACAAAGTCACACACACCTATCTTAAAGGAACTGACTGCCTCATCGGATCCTTTCCAGATAAATCATTTTTCAGTTTACTTCCTCAGTTACCCAGAACTCAGCTCTGCCATCCACACAAATACTGACACACTCACACACTCACACACACACGCGCACCTCTATTGAATTATCCTGGAATGCCCCATGTTAGCCTGTATTCCTCTTCAGTCCTTACTGTCAACCTGACTAACAACAAACAGCAGCTGGCCAGGAGAAACTCCAGGAACACATTTGTTTTTATAAAGTGGATATGGAGAGAGAAGGTTTGTTTTGCTGGAAGTGGTTCTCTTCCTCTCATGCCTTGGCCCCGGGCCGGGGGCCTCTCAGGGCCTGGCTGGGTAAAGTGGAGAGAGGTGGCTGAGTGGCTGTCAGCTGGACGGCAGCAGTGAGAGCCTCGGGCTCAGCCTGAACTCAGGCGGTTCACAGACGGTGCTGCCCGGAGCTGGGGGAAGTCCGCCCTCACCCCGCTGACGTCATCCAACACACCACAAGACTTGTGTTAGACTTTCAAAAACAAACTGCCCATTGCTCTGGCACCGTGGACCATCACCATGGAAAACACTGGTCCCTGTCTGTGCCCGTGTTTACGATAAACACTTCCCTCATTTCTGCTGGATCTAACAGAAGAGGAGGATGGTTCAGTGATCCATAAACCGCAGAGTAAACAGTCTAATGTCTCAAACTCTACATCCGGTGATTCGTTAATTATATATCACAGAAGTGGTACCTTCACCATTTGCATACTTTGTATTGTTTAAGGAAGAAGGGACATCTAGAGGAAACTTTCTCAGCCCTGACCCAGGAGTCCTGCCTATGTTTTCATGCCGTGTTATTTTCATAGCTAAGCGATGAGTGTCTCTTAAAACCTGCTCACCAGATGACGTAATGAACTACCTGCCAAGCAGCTCTGTGTTTCAGGAAGTGAGCGGGGAACTAATGGTTGTATTAGTATTCATCATTGAGAGTTTATCAGGGTTGACCAGCCCTATAGAGACCCACACAAAGCTAACTGAGCTTACACAGAAACCCCAAGATGAGATTACATTAGTAAATGTCTTCAGTCCTCCCTCCTCTTTTTTGTTGCACTTAGTAAGTCACTGAAATCTGCAGCACTCATCTCTGCCTTCATTCTAATTCTGCACAGCGTGCCCTCCTGCTGATCACGTATCCCAGATGCTTATCAGCGGGTCAAGGTGCTCGCGGTTATGGGAGAGTGAATGCCTTGAGGGCCCAGCACATAGCAGCACTATCTCTCCCCTTCCTGTTTACTCTGCTAGAAACTGTGTCCAGCAGCGTTTGGCTCGTTTCAAAGGGAAGAGAAGTCACTGGTGTCACCATGAGGGAAGTGACTTAAGACCGAATCAGGTTTTCCTCCTGTCATCTTCACCTGGTTTTCTAGATCTATGACGTGAACTAAACCACATCAGTGTGTATATTATAATCTCACGATCAAGGTTTTGAATGTGGCTCAGAGGAATCATTTTTGAGTGTGTTGTCAACGGCAGCTGTGGAAAAACACCTGGCTGCCCTGAGGTCATGACATTTACAGTAGTATTTTATGACTCATTTTAACTTCAAAATTCAAACAAACTTATGACCTGTTTGTTCTCCAGTAAAAACTCAAGACCACAGTGTTCTGTAATACATGCCCATTTTAATAATCTGATAGAAAACATTTGTTGAGCACAACATACACCGTTTTACCATATATCGTGAGGAAAACACTGAAAAAATACATTTTAAACAATGTCATATATTTCAGCAAATATTCCTAAAGCTGTACAATGACCCGTCACCGTACACAACATACTGCAGTAAATAGATCCAGCCTTTATGATCCGCCAGGAACACAAGACAAAGAGCTTCCGCTGCACCTCTCGTGAGGTGTTGTTGCTTCAAAACGTCTCCGGCTGGAATCTCAAACTAAACATTTCAAACTCCTCAAATAAAACTGGACTGTATGACTCCATGTTTTTGGTCTTTATAGCAAAGTAGCTTTGCTTAATACAACGAATCAGAAACACCAGACGAGTATCAGTCAAACTGTGGATTTGACACGCGGTGGTATAAATAATAACAAATATACAGTGAATATTATCGATCAATATCATCAGGTACAAGGAAAAAAGGTAATAAATACACTGTTACAAACAGCTGAAGGGTCAGCACAGCACAGCTGGGTGCGACAAGATTGTGCAACTGTGTAACCACACACACACACACACACACACACACACACACACACACACACACTCGCTCCCCCCATTCTGACAATGTGGTACCTTTAAGGTAGTGTTGGACAGATCAGCAACCAGCTGCAGAACTGTCGTCATATTCAAAGTGCTGGAATAACAATATTGATAATAATAATAACTACAAGATACAGTTATAATGTCACTGACAGGTGTCTGTTTAAATGTGCACACAGTCTTACAGTCATTCAATGTCCAGAACCAGATACGGTGTAAAGTGTATTCACGAGGATGCGATTCAGTAAACCTCAACAGCTGTGTGAGTAAGTGAGCTGATAAAATGAGGAAACACACTGGAATATACCCAGCACGACATAATATACGGTGATGGAATTTTCTATGAGATATTTTTGGTTCAATTTCCTTTGGTAATTAACTTTTATTTGCCAGATTGTTTTCATTGAAAAACAGGAAATAAAAAGGATGAATTTTGACTTCTGATTTGGGTGAAAGCATGTGTTCACACTGTTCAGACGCGGAAGTGAATTCATTAAAGGGCTTTGTTTAAACTTTGTTTACAGGATCTTTGCAATTTAGTTTTTCCATGTTTTAAGACTCAACAATACACTTTCAATGAAACTGAAAGATGAGTCATTATTTATGTAATGTATTATTGGATAGAAACAGATTATGTAAATGACTGATGCTTTCCACCCTCTGTTCCTCTTGCCACAAAGTGCAAATTGTGCTGGGAAGTCAACTGATTTTTTTTTAGAAACACCCCCACTCTACGCTTTTGTGAGAAGCTTATAATATTGCCAAAACATTAGGAAGACTGATTGTGAGACAAAGATGTCCTTATTGTAAAAAATGTTGACACATTTTACAGCTACGTGATTGTGTTCAATAAATTATAAAAACATGTACGTAAAAGACACGGCTGTAAAAAGAAAAAAAAAGGCACACAACTTTTGTTTTTGGACACTTCACCAGGTGGCATCCAGTCTCGACACAATGCTAACAAAATCGTAATGAACATAAAAAGTGTCCTGAAGTGCAAGTTTTTGGAAATCTCACTTGTCCCAGTACACGGATTCATATCATTTAAGTCGTCTTATTTGTCTGTGAGGACCGAGACTCAGCCTCTGCAGCCCCACAGTTAGTCCTTTCTTCTAAAGACCGGAGGCTGCGCTCGCCCAGCTCCCTTCAAGGGCTCGAAATCAAACTGCCACAGGGTTTCCAGGCCTTGTTTGCAGGAGTGCCCTACATTTAGTCAGGCGCTCGTAGCCAGGCAGCTCCTGAAGAGCCAGGATTGCAGGATTGCTCCACTGCAATAAAATGAATTCAGCCAAAAGCAGCAAATCACGCTGCGCTCAAAGAACCCCGTATGTTTCCGCCCCGTCTTCATTGGAGGGATGGCTTTGGAGTGTCAGATTATCACATCCGTCGGTTGTCTCCATCATCCCACTCTCCACGTCTCCCACCTGTTCGTCCTCATCGTCCAGTGTCAGTTCAAACTGAAATTTACTCGTCACAGGTCCGCCCTCCACCTCCCCGTGTGGGCTCCCTTCTGTGTAGAAGGGAGGGGAGGGGCTTTGGGGGATCATGCTTTGGTACCAGTTCCTGTTGTCCTCAAGCATATCGAGGATGTCCTGGGCATCCGGGTGGACCAGGTCAGCCCACGTCTCCCACAGAGGGTGGACGATGTAGTCGATGAAGCCAACCTGGGAGATAGAAACAAAGATGACGTCAGTAAGAAGGAAAATAAACACAATGTTTAATTCCTATTGGAAGTGTGTGGATGTGTCTCTACCTGTGTTCTCTCCACTGAGGCTGTGTGTTTGTCACACATCGGGCTGATTTCCATCCCACGCTCCCTCTCTCTGTCTCCCTGGTGGAAGAACTCGTCCATGATCCTGTCCGTCCACTGACGGTACAGATCCAGAGGTTTGGTCGGGTTGCTCAGGTCCGCACAGTGAACCATGTTCCGCAGAACCTGCAGAAAAAAAAAACAACAATTTAATCATCTTGTATTTCTTTGGTATGTACGACAGTGTTATTACTGTGTGTTGTGTGTTTACATGCGTGGCTCTTACCTGCATCCTGTCTGTGTAGTTGTCCAGCAGCAGGACTCCGGAGCTCGTCACCTTCTTGGTCTCAACCATTGTCTTCAGATCAGCCAGCAGGCTCATGTGTTTAGACATGTCGGTCGCCAATACCTAGAAGACAGGAACACACAGACAACGGTGTGAGAAACAATTCAGGAAAGGAGCAGTACAAGGAGCCAAGAAGACATCGCTTTCTGGGCGTGCAGATATTTCCTCACCATGTCTATGACCATTCTCCGCAGTGTCTGCCTCTGCTTCTTGGTGAGGTTTTGGAAGATGTCACAGTTGTCTTCCTGCAGCAGCTTGAAGCCCACAGCCAAGTGGTGGTTCTCCAGCACTGACTCATCGTTGTACATGAGAGCCAGCTCAGAGTCTGAGGGGAGACGAGGGAGGGAGAGAGGGGGGGGGAATGGCAGGAAGGAAGAAATTAAATTGAGCACAAAGTTTTTAAACTTAGGTCAGGTAGCTATGGTAACCAATCAAAACCTATAAAAACCCATACTGAGAAAAGGGAGACACATCCTTCTATTATGCCTGTGTAGACTAAATAAATCAGCGTTCTGATGAGTGGCGGTGAAGAGGACTTACTGGTGTTGATGAGGAACTGGTTGGACACTCCAGGGTGGTCCACGTCGTGAATGGCTGCGGCGAAAATGGCTGCAAGGATCTCCAGATCAGTGAAGACGGCCTGTGTTTGAGGAGAAGGAAGAATAATAAAAAAAGAGGTTAGATTTAACAGTTACTTATCCGGCTAATCAAGGTGAGGTGTTATGCAATGTGTCATCCTCTGAAGTAGCCATGCCAGTATTGGTGACAGTAATACCAGTCCCATCAATGAATCAAACCAAGAAGGTGCGGGGGTTAAATGTTGCCTCATCTTTAAACTATTAGGAGGATGCAACTATTTTGAAATGTGCTTTGTTTCTGAATGTAGGGAAACTCACCACGGGCATTATTGCAAAAGGACATGAGTGTCGTCTAAGACTTTTAGATAATGCATTAAAGTCACTTACATCCAGTGCAGGGGTGGACAAGAGGATGTGCGTGGACTGGGCCACGTCGGCGGCGTGCAGGCTGTTGTGGTACGCCACGTCGGAGTGATAGTGGCCCTCCAGGGTCAGCATAAACGTCACAAAGGTGTCCGTTGGAATCTTGAACGTCCTCATCAGGTCTCGCTCCTGCATGCGATGAGAAAAACATTGATACTGACACTGATGTAAATGATTTTGCTATTTCTTAAAATATTTCTCTTTGTCATAAGGGTAGAAAATGAGGATGGTGAAGAGGCAGGACTCTGACCTGAAAGATGGTGTACATGATGCATGTGAGGGGTCGGTTGTGGGAGTGCTCGGCCACTTTGAAGATGTTCAGCCCCCATCTGTTGATGTCTTCCAGGTCCTGTTAGAGAGAACACATAGGACGACTGTAAGTGTCTGAATCAGATGATTTTCATGTCTTTTTATTTTTGCTGTATCAGTCATCTACCTTCGACAGCAGCTCCTCCTGGTCCGTCTTGACCCCGAAGCGATTGCAGCTGCTCCCCGAGATGCTGGGCGTGTGGCTGACCTTCCTCACCCCGCTGATGTGAGTCATCATCCCACCCTGCTGCTGCTGCTGCTGCTGCTGCTGCTGCTGCTGACCCTGCCTCCGCTTCCTCTCCCTGGACTTTGGTACTGGACATGGAAGCTCCAACTCATTTTGTTTGTCTGGAGAAAATGAAAAAGAAAAAGGGAAAAAAGGATTGAGACAATGTTTTTCAGTTACCTTCGTTAGATAAGCATCCTGGCTTGTGTTGCCACCATGCTGAAAAAAAAAGTTAACACAAGGGGATAGTTGACCTCTCACACCTACATGACAACACACTACAGCTGAACAGACTTTCAGTTATGTTATATATTACTGTTTTTTGAGGCATGGACCTATTTTTTTCTTAAATTAGATACAAAAATGTTTCAATACGATTATGATAAATGTTATTACAACATACAGTCCTCATGGGATGCTGTGCAATCAGCTCCAGTGGTGTGTACATTCTGAGAAACTGACCCATGTTGTAATAACAATCCACAAGTGCACGACTTGTGTGTGCGAGTGCACAACCCCCTTGGTCTCGCTGTGTGTTTGTGTGCACACCACATACGCTGGAGAGAGACAAAGAATATCTCAGCTGCCATCTCCACAAAGCACAGGGACAAAAGGATCTCTGTGCACCTGACAGGTGTGAGCTACAATGCAGATGACAACAAAAAACGCCAAGCTTCAAAGATGAGCTCTGTGTTTGCTCGTGTGTGCCTCCCCCGAGCGGCGCTGTCAGGCAGACATCACTTCCACTGCACCTATTCTATTGTTAGGGAAAGGTCTCCGCTATCATCTGGTTGGATGTGAAGGTGGAGGAGCTGAGGGGCAGAATGTCTGGCTGTATGCAGGACGAGCTTAACTGAGCTGACTACGAGTCACGAACTGCAGCTGGGCTTGTTACGAGACAAGGAAACACTTCTGTCCTCCTGATGAATAATGCAGTGTCTATTTGGACCTGATGACACATGCACGCACACGCACATTTCTCCTCTCCCCCTGCTCACTGCCTTGATCTCTCCAGAGGGAAGTCTTCCCTGAATCCCCCCTCCTCTCCTCCTCCTCATCTCTCTGCAGTAGTCAGAGCGAGGGGACTCTGTCTCTCTTCCCCAAGACCAGATTAGACTGGTTTGCGAGCAGTGATGCAGACTTACGACAACTTCTCCCCTGCTTTAGGTGAACTCGCAACCTCCGTGAACATTCAGACCATGTGCTGGATCGTTGGAGTCACATTTCGCGACATACCATCAGTGTTAATTGGCATATGTGTGAGTGTGTTGCAGTGCTCACCTAGGAAGGTGTTTGAGATGTACTCGGACACTTGGTTGCCAGAGCGACTCATCTCAGAAAGGTGACTTAGCTCCCGGTTCAGCATTCTCTTGAACTGCAGGCAAAGAGAGATTGAAAAGTTCATGAGGGTTAATAATCTATAAAAGGAAATACATATTTATTCAATCATTCACGTCCGATTCCAAGAAATGGGACAAAGCATTTCCTGGAATTTCCCCCTGGCATTTGCCCCATGAGAACATGGCCTCTGTATTTTTATCTGCCATAAAAAGGTCTGTGTTTATGTCTGCTTGGTCCTGGTTTGTGTTAGCCACTGAAACACGTGACTGTTAAGCATTTACTAACAAACAAACAAAAAAAACACCAATGCATAATATAATAAATGCTATTGTTTATGCACAATGTTTCCAGGGAAAGAAAATGCGCCATTTTTTTTCAGTGTACGCAACCACTGAGAAAAGGCACGATGACAGAATCAGTCACATCTAATCAAACACATGCTAATCATCGATGCACAATAAAATCAGCAAGGGTCACTGATATCACCAGCTGTAGTGAAGAGACAAGAACATACAACATGTGGTCACACACACATGCATGCATGCAAACACACGCATGCACACACATGAACGCACACACACACGCACGCACGCACGCGCACACACACACACACACACACACACACACACACACACACACACACACNACACACACACACACACACACACACACACACACACACACACACAGAGAGTCCCATCTATGGGACACACCTTAATGTATCCCCAGGACACAGAGAACAGGTAGTTGGCCTCAGGCATGGTGCTGAGCTGTGCTGAGCCCCTGGCGCTCCCCAGCAGAAGCCCTGTACGCTCCTCTCTGAGTGGACCCCCAAGGCTGAGCTCAGCTCTCCCGCCTGAAGCTCAAGGCTCCCCCAAAATCACTGTCGACTACGGTAAATATGCCCCTGCTGAACTCTCTGGAGAGGGGCTGTGGTGGACCCCTACATCCTTAGCCAAATGCATCTCCTCATAGCTCCGTCCACTGTTTTCCAGGATTGCAACAGCGATGGAATCCCCGAATCCAATCAATTTCCCTTCCTTTTCTCTCTCCTTCGTCCGTCTCTCTGTAAACCTCTTCTTGCCACCATCCAAATGTTATCCAGTGATGCGCATGGGGGGGAAATCCAGTCTTCCCAAGCCAGCCCAGATTGAGCAAGGAAGGAATGAGAGGCTGTAAGACTGAGGGAGGGAAGGAAAGGAGAGACGGAGAGAAGCAGACAGGAGGAGGAGGAGGGTGTTGCGCTCAAGCTGTAAGGGTCCCCGGTGGCAGACAGGCTGGTGGAGTCTCTCCCTCTCTCTCTTTTTGCCTCCCACCCCTGCAGAACACTGAGCCATGCACAGCACTGCAGAAAACAGGAGAATCCCCCCACATCTTCCTCTCACGTTATATCTATTTCTCTTAATCTCCCCAACTCCTGTGCTCTCTGCAAACCCCCCCCTTCCTGATTTGCTCCCCCTGCTCAGTAATGCAGAACAGATCCAACGCATACTGCGCAATGTGAGGTTTCAAAGCGCCAGACTGTTTATCACAAGGGCGAGGAGACCCTGGGTTCATTTGACAGATTTGGTTTTGCGTCTTTTTTTAATGTGCATTTTTTGGAGTGGAAGCTTCTATTCGACCCTGAATCACTGTGTAGTTCTCAGTATACATGCACATTATCCAGTATCTGTTATCCAAACAGAGACGATGGGAGACACACACATGAGGGAGCTGCAGCCCACCGGTGCCCCACCAATTGCACAGCAACCTGAACGCCGTGGCAACAGAGTCACGTGGCCCTCTCCGTTGTTCTCACAGTGGTCCCTACTCTAAGCACATTGCATCACATCACATACATTCACACGCGCACATGCATGCACAAGCACACACACATTCAGTACACAATCTACAGCAGAGATGCTCTAAACAGACACAATAACTACGCTGCACAAGGAAACACAACCTCAAATAAAGAAAAACACTGAGAGAAAAACAAACTCTTTATAATTAAAACAATGAGATAATTGTGGAGGCAATGTCTTGAATATGTCATTGAGTGCTGCCTCTTCTCTGATGTGTTCAAACATTGTAAGAAAATAAATCAACCGTGAGTTTGCCTTAAGCAGGGGCTTTCATTATTTCTCACAATGGGCTCTTTTCTCCTCACACTGGACCAGACTGTCTCTGCTCTCAGCAGCTGTCTAATAGATGTCAAGCAGGCGGCTAACATCTACTTGACTGTGAAACTTAAACGCCACTTTCAAAGCGTTGGCTGCGCCCAAAACCCCAGACTGCCAGAGGCGGTCCATAAAAAAATCAAAGAGAGCTCGTAATGACAAAAAATCTGAGCTCGGACTCAGGCGGCTTTTATTCCATTCAAAGGGCAACTTGTAACTGATTCCTTAAAGGCGGCGGAACAGTGTGGATTTGTGTGACCTCTAGAAAATGAATTAGGCACACAACCACATGTCATGCAGTTCAGCTCACACGGCACAGTGACAAAGTAGATGACTGTGCCCGGGAGAATAGATTACTCAAGGCATGGCATTAACTCATACATCCTTTGACGTGAGCACACATTCAGAAAAAACCCTGCACTTAGGACACAGAGTGAAGTTGCGCAAACTTCATCCAGAATAACGATTGCGCTCGTTTGCAGATGATGAGGAGCTGTTGCCTCATAAAGTTAGGATTTTCAATAAAGGTGCATACAGAAGCCATAAAATGTAAAATAAAAAATAAAACATTGAATTATTAATTTAAACCCTTTAACTAACAATAATAACACAAAAAGTGTTTCAAATGTCACTAAGTCCTAAAATAACAAACCAAAGTGGTAAACATTGTATATTTAATCATACTTTCTGAAGAGATTAATCAACTGAAATTAAATCATTGACTATATTCTTTAATAAATCACACTCCCCATGTGGCAAACCACACTCTCACAGCACATTGTAAGCAGCTCCATAACTAACTCACCTTTTTCCAACTCGTATGCATCCCAAAGTTTTTCTTCTGCTTTTCAGAACAACATAGTCCCATTGTTACTTAGAAAATAAAAACTCAAATGCGACACAAAAGAAATCTTGTAAAAGTTCCACTAGCAATAACTCTGTTCGGCGTCTGCAAGACTGTCTGCTTCCTCTCTCTATTCTCTTTACTGAAGTGGCATCAGGCAGGAAACATATAGTGATAAAGCCGACTTGACTGACTGGCCTACAAGAGTCTAACAAGAGATCGATGGCTCCTCCCCCAGCAAACACAGGCCCGAGAGTTGTGTTCCCACCTACTTCCCTTCTACATGATAGAGTAATTCACTGAGATCATTTACTGGTAGACGCTCTGCTTCCTAACATGGCCTCAGGCACCAAACAACTAGCATACCTGAGTTCATTACTGAAAAGTCCCAGATAGCAAGGTGAGCAGACTGCCAGGCTGACGTGTTGAGGAGGGAAAACACAAATGACAAGTATGTATTTGTTAAGGAGAAGTTTTTAAAAGTCAGCTTGGCTCATAGATCACACTTTGACCTTGACTAAAAAGAGAAATACGATTGCAAAGGAACAGCTTGACATCTTGTTGCAATATTGTGGCTGTGCAATCTGACAAAAGCCCAGCATGAGCCAATGCTGCCTCTGTCCTGTGTGCAGTTGACAGTGTCAACACACAGCGGACTATGCCCAGTGAGTTTTCAGACTTTAGTAATACGAGAATGACCCTTTTCCTAGAAGGTGTTTACAAGAAATAAGGACAGGGTTAGAGTAAGAGCAGGTTTCATATTTACAACCCTCATTTTGTCTTATTTTCCATGATAACAGCAGATTACAGAGGTATAACTTTTTAATTACAATTAGGCACCGTAATCACTACTGTAGCTTGTCTGATCTGCTCACCACCCATTCAGTCAAAAGGAATCACAGCACTATAATTTAATGTCCATTACCCCTGCCACAGCTACAGACCCACCGCTACATCTGTTTCAATAATTTTGTCATTTTTTCCCCCACTGAAGACGGCGGCGCTTCGAAGTTGTAAGTGACCACACGTGAGCTGAAGTTTCCTATGCGCTCCCTCTCGGCTCGGGGGCTTGCTCGCACGCTAGCCCGCAAAAGCCCTAAACTCCTCTAACTGGATTCAGATGGCAGTGTTTGTCCAAGGCCATCACCAGCATCAGCATGGAAGTGTGGCGGGGCTAATGATAGTGAAGGGGCAGGGAGGCAGCTCCCCCGCTCTGAGGTCACAGCGACCAGACAGGCGGTCAGCAGGGTGTGTGGTCCCATCGCCCCGGATACACCTGCGCCCTTGGACACCGTAAGCAGAGATGCCCTGGGTTTGATCGTGGGTTCACTTACATCCTCTCTGGTTCCGAAAAGAATTGGGCTCTTTGTCAAGCATCATGTCATGTAAACGCTGGTGAGGAGTAAATGTCTGCTGATTCTACATTCTTTGTGCATCAATATAAACACATTTGACACCAAATTAAAACTAATTTCTCCCCATCACTATACAATGGCACAACAATTGAGACCACTGACAATTCTGAGCTGAAACATCATGAACTGCTGACCTCCACTCTTTCAAAATCATCATTAGTCAACAGTGCTTTGTGTTGGTATTGGGTCATATTGAGAGTACTCTGAGTCATGTGCCCGGCCAGCCTGACCGGGTGCCTGCGCTGCAGTATAGACTGCAAGACCTCTTGCTCATTGTCTTAAGAGTCCCAGTGACGTGGGTATCTATAAAGACTCAACCCAGCTGCCTGGGTCGAAGCGCTGCTATTGTCGTCTGGCAACCACGGAGCAGAGGAGAGGGGGCAATGGGGGGACGCACGGGAAATAAAAAGACAGGAAACTGGTGTCATGGTCACAGTCACCCGTCACAGTATGACAGCACCCCTCCCTAATCCAATCCTCCCTCAGACCACAGTGTAGAAGACAGGGCGGAAATGGACAACGCCACCCTGGGTGTTTAGAAACTGACGCCGCCGTACAGTCGCCACTGTCTGCCTGGGGGTTGAGTGTGCAGTAATTTGGCTGAGCTCTACACAAATGAAACGTTTTATGTGTATCAAAGCAAAGGGAAGTAATTAGTTCTAAATAGGGGCTTTGTGTAGTCTTGCAGTACCACAATGTGTTTATTTAGCTTAACATTAATCAGATCAGAAAGCCGACTTCTTTTAAATTTAGAATAACACGTTGGATTTATCCACTTTCCCATGCCAATATCTTTTTAGTCACAATAGCAGGGTTATCTAGGCAATGGTAAGGTCTATTGGTTAAGATGATCATGGTGCCTGGAGGATGAATCCAGCGACATGGTTGATCTTGTTTTTGTCTAGTGCCAGCATCATGTTGACATTTCAGTTTTTTAGTAAAATAATTAAGTGTTGGTTGAACGGCCATTAAGATGGTGAAGACAGTCACGTCCCTTGATGACATCGGCAAAAGTACTCACATTCCCATCAGCCTCAGCTGCTAGTTAGCAAACGTCAGAAAAGTAAACACAATCACCTTCTGATGACATATTTCTTCATCGTTTAGTACTCATCAGCAAAAGGTAAATATTATCACCACGTACCTTGTTAAACTGTTAACAAGGTAAACTGGTATCAAGGCTAAACCTTAGCATACTAAGGTGGCACCCTGTATGGCAGCGGCTACTCCTGCTCCCGATTAATTCAATGTTTTAATAATTCACTGCTCAAGCACTTTATTATATTCACCAGTGTCAAGTTTACATTTGCTCTGTGAAATAATCCAACCACTGTGAAATGAAATGAATTTTTTCTAGTTTGTCTTTAGGTCTATATGTATATGTTTTGTCTTTGTGTCTATTATGTCTTTTTTTGTTGTGTTAAGTGTACTTGCCTTTTTATGTTTGAGGAGGAAGAATTATGTTAAAATTATGTTCTGCTGTGCACTTGTTGTATGGTCTGAATGACAATAAATTTCACTTTGACTTACAACACCATTATAACCCTGCATTTCGGTCAGGTCTATAGGCTCACGTAGCTGTTATTAGTAAGGGTAAGAAAGAGTTTCAGAAATGAGGGTAAAGCATGATTTAAACTTAAAAAAGGTTAAAAGGCTCATATAGCTAGAAAAATCCTGAAGTAAATGTTATCAAGTTGTAACCTGCTTTCCTTTTTTTCTGCTACTAAAAATGACCTTTCAGAAGAAATTTTTTGATCTCATTCTGTTAATATGCAGTGTTCACCAATGCAGTGGATGTGATTCAACTACAGCACAAATCTGGGCTAGTGAATGGGAGCATTTTTAACTTTGGCCACTTGTCAACAAGGAAGTCGTGCTACATCTGAGGGATGGTGCTTTTTTATAATTTCCTGATGTGCTAGAAGCTGAAATTAATGTGGGAACATTCAATGTGTGTTGACTGAACAAACTGGTTGAGTGCCCACTATTAAATTGTTGTAAAATGTATTGTTCCAAGCAACAATGTGTGTTTTCTAACAAATTAGAATAATTTAAATTAGAATATTTTTAATGACCACACAACCAGTGGTCCAAATGTGCTGTCTGAACAGCATGGTTGGGAATAAAGCTCAATTCCACAGTGTCAGTAACAATAGGCCGATGTCAATATCACATTAAATATTCAACTTCACATTGGACATTAGAAACAATGACTAACACAACTTTACCACAAGAGATTTAAAGAAGGTGGAAATGTCTGACGCAAACTGAATTGAAAAATATCCACTTTTGATGCAGCACTGCTTCAACGTAGAGAAGAAGTTATCTTCTTTGCTTCTTAGTAAGTGGAATAATACCATAGTAAAGCAGAGGAAATTGGGGGTTTTCAGTTGGGAACGTCATCAACACAGATAGCAATACGGCTACAGCATAATGTGTGAATAAGAAAGTGGGATACACTTTCCTCTAACATGTTTTATATGTTTATCTTGAACTTTAGTCTGAAACTGAAGTCAGTCAGTTGGATGTGACCTTATAAGATGATGTCAGTTGGGAAGGTGACATGTGTTTTTAATCACGCATCCTGACAGCCTATAACTTTCCATGTGTCTCATGTAGTTTGAACAAGGTCAGGAAAGTGATGCAGAGCATTACCCGTTGAATAAATGCAATATTGTGCCCTCTGCAATCAAAGATACCAGGAGCTAAGCATGCAAAACAAACGCTGCTATTAATTTTTAACAAGAGTGAATTGATTATGCCAGCTCTCTTACACGACCACAGAACAGCTGTTACTTTGCAAGTGCGTCACTGTGGCAGAAAGCTATTTACATTTTGCATACCCTGTGCAAATGGACATCCACACTTCAACAAAAAACATTGTATAGCTATAAACAAGTCATCACAGGCCAGTCAAATCCAATCTCAATATCTTGCCTTCTGACAACTAATGACAAAATGTGAATAATAGTTGTAATATGTAATAAGGAACAACTTTTAGGTGATTGAACCTGTGAACTTCTCTTCTCTGATCTAAATCATGGTTTATGATTGTGTAACAGAAGTGAATGTTCTATGCAGTGTCAGGATGATTATTATTCAAATGCAGAGTTTATTGTCATATAAACAGGAACCAGTCTGTCACATAGTACAATGAAATAGTTGATCTGCAAAAATCTCCCAGCAACATCAGAGGGTAGATCAGGCTGTGACACAGTGTGATGTGTGTAAAGAGTTTGAGCTGCACTGTAAGAGCATGGTTCTGATTATGTGTCAACTTTTTAACTTCAAAGTTAAAGGTTGCACGTTCCTCCACGAAAGGAGTTATTTACGATTAGGCCGAAAACAATGTTTAAGTATTTTCCGAAGTTGAAGATGAAGTTTTGTCGATATATGTGATTCCCTTCAGATAATTGTTCAAAATATGAAAAATATAAAACATTTCCTTGTGCAGCAAAAAGCTTGAATGTGGAACCAACATCAGTCCCATCATCAGAGAATAAAACATTTATTAATGATAAAAAATCTAAGGATTGTATACATGTATGCATAAACTTTGCAGCAAATGCATTGCTTGCATCTATACATATAAAAATATATAAGTTGCATTTCCCTACCTTGTTGGAGGCCATGTCACTGACAGAGCGGTAGGTCTGGATGGTCTCCAACTGGTCCAGACACCAGTCCAGCTCCTCCATTGTCTCCATAGCCAGCTTCTGGTAGGATTCATCTGCCAACAGACACATGGACACGTAATCAGGCCCAAGAGGATCCATGTCCATGGCAGAACCCCCTGACACCATGCATGTAGGTCCGAGGGTCCCGGAGTGGCTCGATCGTACGGAGGACTGGCCCGCAGGACATCCGGTAGTCGCAGAGGAAGAGGGGGAAGTGTGCACACGAAGCTCCTTCATCTTGTTGCGCTCCACCACATCAGAAAATTCACAGAAGTTGTACTCTGCAGACAAACTGAGGCTAGAGTTACTGTTGCTGACTCGCCCTCTCTCTGTAGGCTCTTTCTCTCTGTACCCCCTTATTCCCTCGCTCTCATGCACTCTGCAAACCCCCTCCCACTCTGTCTGGTTCCCCCACCTCTTCTCAGTTTCTCTCTTGTCCGCTTATACCCCCTCTCAGTACCATGAACAAGTGGCTTATGAACTAGATGGTCTGCTGCCTCCTGCTGTTGATGTGTTTGGGACCCCCCCCTCCCTCTCATCTAAACATATACAAGCTGTGTGTACATTGAGGTACAGTAACACAAACCCAATGCAGAAGATGTTGAAACAGATCCATCTGGTTTCGCTTTTTTATACTGTGCATGCTTGTGAGAGCACGCCAGATTTATAGCGTTAAGTCTATGATAACTCATACAATGAAACTACAGAAACAAGAAGAAGAGTTTAGACAGGAAGAGGAGGCAGAGACAAAAACCTGTTTTAGCTTATTTGACGCACTTTGTCAACTCACTCCACTCCTGATGACTTCCTTTCTGAAACATGCAGACCACTTCAAGGCTGTACTATGCTGAACTGCAGCAGCAGCTCACACAACACCACCACGCTCCACAAACTGGCTCTCTCCTCTCTCAACCTCTCTGAGGCAGAAAAAAAATTTATATCAAACACCAAGCCCTGTGTTTGCACAAGCAACACGAGAGGCAAACTTTGACTCCCTGAATTTGGGGGGAGGACAGGCTGGGGTCTCCTGTGTGCCAAAGAAACCAAAGCACTTCCTCTTTGGCCCTAAACTCGCACAAAACATGGAGTGGAATGACTGAATGGCAGGAGTGACTTCTGAGGACAATCATAGCTGTCATTCAGTGAACCAGGGCTCTCGTTAACGGACGTGTCTCCCACGTGGTGGGCTGACAAAGTTTCTGGAGAAAAAAAATATAAATGCAATGAGATGATAAAATACGAGCAAACTAATTAAGAAACATCATATTCCAATAAGCAGAATGTTGATTCAACACATTTCTGCCTGGAGGGAGCAAACACTCGTGCATCTGGATCTACCCGTCGCCCTTTCTCTATGGAAATACTGATCTCGACTTCATAGGGCTTCACACATGGAAGAAATTTACCCCATATGCTTAGCACAACAGGACAGCCAGCGTGCTGCTCCCCAATTTACGTCAATATAGTGGTTCAAAGCACTTCAAAGGCCAGTGATGGCGCACATCAGTGTTTTGACGAACTTCAATGAGATCTCAAATGAAACAGTATATGTGCACTTCAGGAAACCTCCCTCCATTGAAAAGGTATCAGTACAACATGACGACTCTACTGAATCACACAGGAAAGTCTAGGTTCTGCTGTTTGACTTTGACTGTGGTTTTTAGGAATCATGCCGCTAGCTCCTCAAATTACAAGAGGAAGACTGCAAGCACAAGCCACATTCCTCAGGTCAGACCAGTTTTCCTTTATTTGAGATCCAGGTTGGAGGATTCAAAGAACTCTTGGCTCTAATATACGACTGGACGCCAAGTTCCGCGGTCCTAACTATTCACAGGAACCACTGGCATCTGAGCCATGTAAAAATCAGTGACGCAGAGCAAAAAAGTACAACATCAAAGCAGCTCACGCACAAGGTGGTGAGCTGTTGAAACTGGGTATATACCCATGTGCGGCCGTCTTGAGCCATAGGAGCGGGAGGTGTTGCCAAGAAGGTGGGACCACATCCTGCCCTCGTTTCCCTCCGATGAGGGCTTATAGAGACATTAGACATTTTACCAGTGCAGGCGGTGAACATCAAAGTGTTGGCTCTTTGTATGAACTGGGATCAGGTCCTTTTGAAACTAGAGGCAAATTCATACGCACAGTCCAGTTCTTGATGGCTGTAAACCACTCAGATGTAGACTGCAGAACAAAAGTTTACTGGCTTTGTTCTTCAAGATTACTGAGGCAGAATTTCCCTCATTCATCTCTTGTGATTCAGTTGGACCTGGGGCCATGATTTGAGAGTTAAAGTTGTGACTAAAACAAAGACATGTGCACACAATAGGAGTAGATGAGACTGCTGAACCTGAATCTGATCCATCATGAATACAGTGCTACATGGGCTGGCAGACATTTCTCCATGTCACCAGTCAAAGGTGGCGTGACTAACTTTCAGTCTGAGAAACCTGCTCTCAGACAGAGTGCGAGGTACTTTTCCAGCCTGTTTTTCAGTGGAAGTCTACTTTTTTTCCCCCCTCAGTCACTCCTAATGCTTTGGCCATATGCTGGAGGCTGCCCAGAGGACAACAGACCTCAGTGTGCAGACAGACCCCGTCTGCCTCCCCTCTCTCCCCCCTCTCGCTCCATCTCTCTCCCACTATAGGGCCACAAACCGACCTCTGTGAGAGACATCAACTGCACTAACGACCAGGGCCGAGCTCAAACACCCGCAACCCCCTCACCACCTCCATTCCTGCCCAAGACACCTTCCACTCACATTCAGCTCACACTGCAGCTCTCTGTGCTCTCAACCCCCCACCCCCAAAAACCCTGATTCTCTCGCTGTCTGGGGGAAGCTTGGTGTGAAGAACTCTTCTGTCTCATCTATTATACCACCTACTGATAATCACAGCCAGTGACGGATGAAGTATTTACTCAAGTAAAGTAATAGTGCCACAACAAAAAAATATTTGATTATAAGAAAAATTCAGAAATTCAAAATGTTAGTTATAGTAGTATAGTAAAATGTCCTTCAGCATTAATAGTATTCATCCAGAATGGTCCCTTTTGGGGATGGTATATTTGTGTAAAAAAGTATGGTTTTTTTTTATTAGAGCCTGACTGCTATGGACTTTTGGGAGCTGCTAACCAACATTAGTTTCCGATAACTAAATATTTGGCCGTTAAAAAAAATATAATCTAGCAATGATTCCTAAGATGAAACCCTTATGACAAATGTAAGTGAGGATTGATATCTTACAATTAAAAATAACTATAAACAAAAAAAACAACTGCATATTTAGAACCTGAAATAAGAAGCTTAACAAAACATATTTTATGTAAATTGTTAAATCTAATTCACATCTTTTCTGCATTTTATAAGCTTGGTAGAATGTTTACATAACAGCAAACTTAAACACTGAGGCTCATATTGGTTGATATTATTGGCCAAACAATAATCGGTTGAGCTCTAGGTTTTATAACTAATGCATTAATATGTAAAAAGCAAAACTGGAATAGGTCAAGAGGACTGTAATTATCTCCACCAGGGTGGTTATGCTTTCATTGTTGTCTGTCTGGTTAAGGAGCATTCTGCAATAACAGCTGAACCAATTTTCTTGAAACACATTGGAAGGGTGGGATGTGGGCCAAAGAAGAACCATTCATTTACCAGGATTCAGGATTTCTTTAGTTAGAAATTATTTAGAGATTTTTATGAAATCAGGCTTGTGTACTAAGTGGCGCATCACCCTTGGTGGAGGTCACTGTGTTTACTTTTATCAACTAGCTGGTAAATGAAACAATATGTCATTCGAGTTAATGGTTCAATGGTTAATGGGCAACTTGTAAAATGCAAATCTGTAAATAAACATGTAACTTAACTTTGAATAAATGTGATTGGATAGTTACTCTCTGAAATATAATGGAGCATAAGCAAAAATAAGCATGAAATAGAAAAGCTAAAGCCAAGTTCTAGTGACTAAACAATGTATTTTCATACTTGAGTATATGTACTGTGCTATGATACTTCCCACCGCAAGTTTCTACTTGTAAGCAGCTTTACAGACTGTACATACAGCTGAGGTTTTCCTGCAGTGTTTGAGTTTTCAAGGCAAGGTTGACTGTAACTCAGTGACGAATATGTCTGAAGCCATGTTTATTCCCACTAATTGGACTCGTAAGGGAGTAAAGCAACCGCTTACAACAAAGGGTCGATGAAAACTGACTGCAGTCACCAGCGTCAGTTCGAGTGTAAACACCTCTGAGCTATCTGCATGTGCGCAAACACAACGCATTCCTCGTCTTGACCTCACCACATCATGAAGAAGAAGAGTGCACACTCTGACACTGATACGTGCCTGTGCTCAGGGCTGCGTTTGTTTGACTTTGCGCCGCACAAGCTAAGACACACAGGGTGGGGGGGTTTGGTTAAATGAATCACCTGTGTATCAACCCCTAATATACGTCATTTTATTCAGACCTCTTCAGAGTAGAGACGCAGAAAAGTAATTTGAGATTAGAGACAAAGAGGGAAGGAAAGAAACCTTTTTAAAACTCAACTGAAGGTTTTACAAACGAGAATGAAGTTATCTCAGGAAAACAGTCAACACAGTCACACGTGGTGGAAAGATACGGCAAGACTGTAGATATTTTGATATTAATCAGTAACTGGCTTACAGCAAATGTAACAGGGTGCTCTTAATAACCGGTTAACAAAAGGTGCTGAATACTGTACTATTTGTATATACCAAATATATGATGTAACATATGTAACAGTACATAAAGTAAATAACAGCTGAGATCCAGCTGTGATCGGAAAAGAAAATGCAATC